ACATCAGTTAACCGTGACACAGATTTCTACCTCTGGATCATTTCTGTTCTTACCCCACCGACGGTCGATCTTTGCATCGAGTGCAGCCAGTGGACGATGTTTGTTTGCTATGGCTCGTGTTCCCTCGAAGCACTGTGAACATAATTGAAATGAGCCCCGGGGCCGTGGCATCGTGTTCTGAAATCAGACCCGACCCCTAAGACGAGAGCCTGCCCGGAGGGTCTCTTCGCAGAGGAGGCCGGCCTTGCAGAGGGAAGAGAGCCAGGTGATTTATAGGGAGGTGGGGGAACACGAGGAGAGGGGTGAGGGGGGGGGGTCTGAGGTCTGACATTTATCCATATGGGAATGTTGAACAGGGGGAGGGAGGGGGTCTGAATCAAGTAATCATAGGTTACCTCTGCTGCTACCTTGGAGGTGCAATCCCATCCTCTCAGCAGAGACACACAAAGCACAGAGGGGGTATCGGGTGGCTCAGTAGGCCTTCCCCAGGTGAAAGCTAAAGCCTGGCTGACACCAACCCAACCAGCTAGACCAGAGAGTGGCACACACACAAACACAGTCAGGACGCAGAAATCACACACTCATCCAACACAGCAGCTCCAGTCTCCAAATCCATTAATGAAACTTTCACCCTCACCTTCCCGCTGAAGCCCCTCCACACCCGCATTGTCAATGAGGGAAAAGTCCCAAAAGTGAAAGATGAATGCGCATTCATGCCAGAACAACCAAATGCTGCCAGACAAGACAAAATAGTCCCCTTTCATTGTGACCACATCCTCCAAAAACAATCTTTTCCCCCCGTTAGAGAAAAAGTACCACTGCCACTTCAGTATGGAACCGGTACCAAAAACAACTCGTGGCGAGCAATAAATCTGTCTGCAAGCTGAGTTATTCAGAAACATCTACATTGCAACACCATTAATACCAAAAACACAATTATTCTGAGGGCACTTAATCAAATGTGGTGGAGCTATTTTGCAAGACAAAGTAATAAATTAACATTTGAATGCTTGCTGGGCACGCAAAAAAAAACACGCCTGGAGGTTCTGGAGAAGAAAAAAAAAAAGGCCACTAGTGAGAGAGTGTGTGTGTGTTATTCCAGGATGAGGAGAGCAATGTCAGGGGACTAATCAATCCATTGAGGGGATACAGGGAAGGGCACAAAGAGCAGCAGCAACTTGAACCACAGAGCATGGCAGCAAAGTGAATACAAGGACAAACTCCCCACCTCCCCCTTTTCAACCAACGCCGCCGCCTCCTCCTCCTACTGTACGCTGGACTCCAGCCTGTGCTCTTCTTCTTTTTATGCCTCCTGTTCTCCTCATTACCACGAGTGCTGAAATAACAAGGATAAGTTGGGTACCCTGTAAGAAGACGAAGAGATGGTTTCCCCAACAACACCTTCAATTATCACTGAAGTGTTTGCAGGGTTGAGAGAAGGTTATCCCACAGATCCTGACCACTCTTTTTTTAAGAACCATTTATGCAAACATGCAAACTGTTATGAAGCTAAAAATACTTTAAATATAGTTCATTTTGGTTATGGACTTTTGGCTGGACAACCTATGCAATTAAGATCTGTAGCTTTAACTTCATGGCATGGGGAAAAAAAATCATTTTATGTAAAAATCGAGATTCTTATCTTCTGAGATTTTAAATGAATTCATAACTTACAAAAATGTTGGCCAATCAGTCACTCCCTGCTAAACGCTAATGCGAGCTCTATAACTCAGTAGAATGCCAAATGGAGCAGCAAGAAATTTAGCCAGTCTCCCAGATGACTGGAGCAGATCCTGAAGTATGTACTCATTCAGAAATAGACTTTGAATCCATGGATCCATGAGTCCAGACTCGTTTTGAATCGAAAATAGATTCTGAATCGTTGCACCAAGGATTGGAATCGAATCGTGAGACACCCAAAGATTCCCAGCCCCTAATATTATTCATAAAAACATTTTATCACATGTCTCTTTCGCCGTGAATTTACTGTTGTGCTTTCTTTTCTGTCTTTATCTTCGTTTGGCTGCAGCAGATAAAGCCAACAAACAGATGAAGCAGTGGATTTTTTTTTTTTTACAGCAGCAGTGTCTCATGTTTAGTCCAGGACAGGTTCTGAAAGAGAAGGTTCATCAAGTGCAATTTCACTTTACCTCCACTGGATTATGGATTTACCTGTCATGGAGGCTTCACTGTAAACTGTACAAAAGTGACGTAATGTGCAGCGATGCCTTGAGTGGGACAACACTTAAAGGTTAGCCTGGGAGTTAGATCAATAGTTGATGAGTAAATGAGGAGGGGCCACAGGGGGGGGGGGGGGGGGGGGGGGGGGAAATCACAGGAGTGGGTGAGGGGTCGTCCAGTCCCAGACGGTATCATTAAACTGTGTTACACACTCACCAACACGCCATTAGTCCAACTCAGCCCATTACTGCACGGACACTAGACTGAGAAAGCAATTTGACCTCACACACACACACACATACATACGAGCTCAGTCTCACACCCACACACATAAACACACACACACACACACACACACACACACACACACACAGGCAGCGTAATAAATCGTAGCCTCGGGTCATCTACTGTCAGCCGGGACTTGCGGCTCGGGTTTATAATGCCATTCAGTGTACACAGCTTGGAAATTATAGCTCTTATTCCTTCTTTCATGAACCCATAATGTGTCTTTTATAATGCAAGAGTCAAGAAAATACACAGCGGCAATGTCAGGGTTAGACTGATTTCTCACTTCGCCAGTATTTGCGGTTGTTATAGGAGATACGTTTCATTTCCTGACCCGCTGGAATTTCATTTTTCCTCTCAAGAATGAACTCAAGTTAATTGTTCAAAGATATATGAATCTAAGTTGGTTTTTCATGGATACTGAAATTTCCCAAACCACTGGACAGCCGTGGTATAAGAGCAACTGGCCCCGAGTTAATTTCATTACTGACAGACTGACTGTCAGTGTCATGTGAGAGTTTAAATGCTATTTTCAGAGGCTTTTCAAACCCTGACAAAAATACAACTCTGGGGGCAAAAGATTGGATTTGGAATTCCTGACCACGTTTTAACTCACTGAATCGGAAAAAATAAATCAAGATAAACCAATGTCTATCAGTAGCTACAGGAGGGAAAACAAGGCGCTAAGCAGCATCAGTTGAAGCCATATGTTGAAGTGCCACAATGGAAAATGCCAACAGCAGCAGCAGCAGCAGCACACACTCGTGCACAGACAGACGACGATGTGTCTCAGACGTGACACAGGCCCGGCTAACTTAATTACTTTACGACAGAACAAGTCCATAATCAAACAGAGACAGCACCCCCCCCCTGCCCCCCGCCCCAGATAAAGATGGGAGGAGGGGAACACGTTGATAACTACATCTGAAAGGATGAAAGAAACGACTAGAAATAGGATGTGGATCACCCAGAAGGGCCCTTTGTGTTCGATTGGATATCGAATCTTATCTGGGTGACATTTCGGAGACGGCCTCCCGGTGACATTTAGGAGTTATCACAATTACAGCAACCCGCCCCCCCCCCCCCCCCTCTGAGGTCCAATCAACCAATTACAGATAACTTTTTTTTTCTATCCTGTCAGCTAAACCTTTCCATGTCATGTCAGAGGGGGCACAGCACCCATGTGTTTTTGTGTAACTGTGTGAGCACGCACTACGTTTATCCCTGTGTGTGTGTGTGTGTGTGTGTGTGTGTGTGTGTGTGTGTGTGTGTGTGTGTGTGTGTGTGTGTGTGTGTGTTTAGAAATAGCTTCCGTAGGGTCCTGGCATTCCAGCGGCTGTCCTAACATGTTGTAAATACAAGGTGTTAGAGAAAACATAGGAAGGGGGTGGTGGAAATCACTCAGACCTATTACAAGTGCTGCAGGGGGGTAAAGAGAGGGAAGGGGGGAGGAGGAGGGGGGGGGGGCAGGATGTAGGTTATCACAGATAAACAACACAGTTCACCTGCAATCACAGCCAAGAGCGGCGTGCACGATTTTCTCTCTTTTCTTCACTGAATGGAAGACTAAAGGCTGCAGCCACCAACATCGCTTTCATAATTCAAGGGTTTAGCTTTGTTTCAAGTCAATGGATCATTTGCATAAGACGGACGAGTGAAAAGAGCATTTTTAAAGTAACTTTTCAAACAGCTTATGAGCCATGCAAGAGCACAGAATCCTTTGCATATTCCCTTGCATACATTTCACATGTCATTCTGAGCTCCTGCAGGCATTAAAGACAAACCACACAGCTTAAAACAGAATTCCAACCGCTGCGTGGTTTTGTTTCGTTTTTCTCAAATCAGCCCGATGGAAACCTGCCTCGAGGTACAGATTTGACAGGACATAAGACATGTGCACACGGTGATGTAATGCTGCAGCACATACATCACAACCTACATGGTCGGCAAAAAAAAAAAAAAAAAAAAAAAACTTAAAGAAAAAAGTTATATAAGCGGGTAAATTCAAAGTGAAATTGCACAACGAGATTTTCAGTCATATCCACAGTAAACACTTCCAGCAGCATGTACAGCTGGTACACAATATAAGAAGGGGAAAATGTGCAAAAAATAAATAAAAAAATAAAAAAAAAAAGGCTGCAAAACTGCAAAACACAAAGTATCAAAAGTGCAAATAATGTCGCGGAAAAGTTAAATCAAAATAATGTGACAAACTGCTGCAGATGTGAGCGCTCAAACAGGCATGTTGTCAAACAGGACTTAAAACAAGGCATTTAAAACACTCACACTCGTGCACATTTCCCACCACAGTTTCTCGTTTTACCAGCTAAATTGCGCTTTCTAATAATGTGGAAAGTTGCCTGCTTGAGGCTTACATGTCAGATAAGAAGGGCAGCACTACAGAGAGCTACAACTGACAAAACACCGGCGGTGCAAACATACCCTCGTTTACTTCCAGCAAAACACGCTCACACGCAGTTCTTAGGCTCCACTTTGCAGAGTTTTTAAAAACGGAGGGGTCATTTTTTTCTTACCTGGACTCTGGCTGAGCAGTAAAGTTACCAGGGAGCCCCACAGCACCGCGGCCAGCTGCATCTTGCAACCCCGCTTTTCTCTCGCTTCTCCGGGCTTCCCTTTCCCTTTTCTTTCTCCTCTTCTTCTTCTTCTTCTTCTTCTTCTTCTCCTCCTCACGGTGAAATATCAACGGGCTTTACTTTGCAAGAATGCGCTCCGGCTTTTCACGCTAACCTCATACCATGACTGACTTGTTGGCCCCCTTTTCTCTACGCGACCTCCTCCGCCTCCTCCTCCTCTTGTGTGTGATAACGCGACAAACCCGGGATTAAAAAGTTAACTCTGAGGGGTACAGCTCGGCTACGGACTCCAACATGTTGTGCTCTACTTTCCAACACTGTGGCTACCAAAAGGAGCTGTGGGCTGTACCAAACGCGAGCTAAGGGGGGAGCTACCTTTTTTCTACCGCAGGGTATTTAAGCTTACTTGGATTTAAATGAACAATACACCACGAACGTGTCTCGTTATCATTTATATTAAACACATAGGCATGAAATCCTGCAGATATGTGATGATTTTGCAAGTATTTAATTCACCATTCCTCTCCTTACTTCCCTATCCCGCAAGAAATGCTGCCGTCCAAAATCTCTGCTCTCGTTGTGTCATTTCTTAAATTACGTTTTTTTGGGAAAGAGGCTCGTGGTCAAGTGTATCAAAGGATAAATTCAGACAGCATCTGGAGGCATTAGAAAACTATTTTAATGCCTTTCATCACAGCGTGGAAAAACGTCTAACTCCCCTTTCATTCTGCCTTTTTTCTTTTTACACAAGAGGAGTAAAAGAAGAGGGGAAAAGTTTCCCTGTTGTCACTTAAGTCATTGGAGGCAAATGACAGAGCAGTGGTTTTCCACAGTTGGGTGTAATGACCATGAGATGAGGTCATTACACAGTCATTATTCAGTACCACTGATTTGCAAAACGTTAGGCTACTGGAGGAAATGTTTTGTTTTTTTTCCTTTAAATGTAATTAAGTCCATAAAGGTCACCCTATCTTTCCCCTTTGCGTTGGCCCAAATTAATTTACAATGGGGAAGATAAGGCTACACACATGCAGTTCAGTCTTCCACAGCCACAGTATCTTTAATGCTCCATTATAATATTGCAACGTCTTGTTATTTTGATTTTATTGGCATAACAACAATAACTGTATTTGATTAGTCATAGCTGCCTTCTTGTTGTTGCATTTAATCTCACCCCTTAATTCCTGATTCTTAATTGTCAGTTTAAGAATCAGTTGTCCCGTGTAGCATCGCGGTCCTAGAGGAACAAAATGTCATCTCACTGTGTTCTTTGAATATGGTTGAAATGACAATATAGAGAACTTGAATGGTTTGGCCTAAGCAAGACAAAGTCACTCCAAATTCACGATTTAAGCGGCAGACTCACTGATACCTCCTAAACTAGGCAATGTCAACCAGAAGCTTTAAAGTTATTACTTTATGATAAAAAGTCCACATTACCTCCACACTCATGGTGATATACTGGAGGTAACACCAGTGGCTATACTGATGTTTGGGAACAAAAACAGATACAAAATAGCTACTTCTAAGCATAATGTCAGTAAGGATTTAACAACCCTACACCAAAACCGAGTTTAAGGGCATTGGATTTAGGCTACTAAAAGTCCCATATAGTCAGACTTCAGGCCTCCGCAGGGCTCAGCAAAGTGTTCATTGATCTGCTTTATTATTATGGTAAATCAACTGCAAAATCACTTAAACAATCAAAAGTGATAAGGACCTAAATAAATTATAAGACACAGATATGATAACAGAAAGCCATAAACGATAATCACTGAGAAAAGACTCATTCTTCATAATAGTGAGATGTGGCAAATCATCTACACATCAGATACAATCCTAGAAAATTCAGTAATCTGTCTTTATAAAATTAACTTTGGAAGTGTTTATGAGGCTTTCTTTTATCACTTAATTCAGAGACAGGACAGTGGATAGAGTCAGAAAGCGGGAGAGAGAGAGTGGGGATTGGCATGCCGGTAAGAGTCATAGGTCCGATTCGAGCCCTGGACGCACGCTTTCCAGAACTTCAGCTGCTGTGTTTGGGGCACTAACCATTTGGCTGCCAGTGCCCCAAGATTGTGAGGCATGACTAAAACCACAGTCCTGCTGGAAAAGGAAAGCTTTTTCTTACTCATAATTGATTCAGTGTCAATGCAGAAACTTATCGATACATGTGTATGACTTTGAGTGTGAGTGTTGAGATAGTTGGTGCAGGTAACAGAAAAGGGAAATTGGATGTGATGGCTGTTTGACTACAGAGACAGTGAGGGATTTTAAAATGAACTTTTTGTTTGGTTGCACACACTACAGCGACTGCTAACCTGTATCCCACCTGTCAGAAAGCTTACACTAAGGCTCCAACTAAACAAAAACAACTCTCAGGTCTACTTTTGAGTTTGTAGGTCAGCTCAGGAGTATGACATCATGGTTGGCAAGAGTTGAAAACAAAAAAAACAAAATCTGATTACACAAATCTCTTTGGGTATTTCAATTAACACTTTAATTTAACAGTTAAATTGGCACCTACTGACTAATTATTTGAAAAGGTGCTTTTCATTTTAAAAAGAGGATATTTTACACTTCAACTACATTTTGAAGATTTGCAGTGATATTTCCATGAAAACATCACATTGTAGTCATTAGAGGACAGCACACAGTCTCATTATTTACTGTTGTGAAATGAGGGAATTACCAACACATGCACAGCTCCACGGTCTACATATTCATGTCCCTCGTCTTTCCCTGGAAAAGGATGGAGGCTTTGGACCCCACTTTCTAATTATGAGGCAGCTTTGGTTAGGACGTGAGCTGGCTCGGCTCTAAACAGGACATCTTCATTCAGCACACGCCTCCCTTCCTCTCTCCCGTGGAGCATCCATCACAGTATTACATTTCATCCTAATAAAAGTGCCATGCACTGTCACTTATTCCGATTTGATACAGATCACTTTAATGAACAAAGCTTTTGGACAAAGAACAGTTGAAGACCTATATGAAAAATAATGAAGACATCAAACAATTTTTCCTTTTTTTTTTTTATGTATGCATGCAAGATCCCTTATGAGAGTTTTTATGTAAGATGCATACGCTGCATCATAACTGTAAAATCAACAAGGGAATGATGATCTCATCAAAGGGAAATAAATTTAGATCTAAAATACTTATTCCCTTCAAATAGCCTAATGGGAACTGTTTAAATAAAACATGTCAGGGAAATAAAACTGAAAGTTGTATAGCATAAGATTTATTACAGTTTGATTTCTTTGTAAATTGTACTTCATTCAGGAACACTCTCGTCATAGATTTAATGATTAATTGCAAAATGGATAAACAGTTTGGCTTGGAGTTCAAGGCTGTTTTAAAGATGCTCTGTGGGTTAGCCAGGGAGTATGCTTTGCTTTCGAGGAAGCGCAATGCTAAGAACCCACCACAAGGGTGAACCCAAACTTAAGGCTAGTATGGAGGAGGCAAAGCTTGCGAGTGTGAGCATCAGTGGTGTATATTAGGGATCAGGGGAAGGAAGTCATGACCGCTTTGTTAGGAGAATGTGCTGTGATTGGTTGAGAGTAGTAGACGATAATTCAATCGACTGGTTGTCAGCTGATTACAGCTGGGGGTATGACTTCCGTGTCCTACATGAACTAACGTTAAGCTTCATTTAAAGGCCATTTTGGTATTTACACACAGCGATGACCTGTTTTGTGGGTGGAGTGCAGCTGGTGACAGAAAAAGTTAGCTAGCGGCAGCTCGCGATCAGTTCACATCAGAAACTGATGGACTATCTGGACGCCTTCTCCAATTATTTAAATTGTTTGGCAGCGGAAGACAAGTTGGCTGACGGTGACAAGCTAACCCTTAGCAATGGGGTGAGGTTTCCTGAGCCGTACTCACTGTCGGCTCTGTGGGATTTGACAAACTAAATGGCCAAAGTGACAGTGGCCAGGAAATCTTTGTATACCTTCTAACCCAGTGTCTATACTGAAGAAAAACTTGAGGCATACAAATCCCTTGAGGCATACGATATTGTACTTTGCAGTCATGTACAGGATTGAATTGGAAGATTTGTCTGATGTTTTTTGTTCATTAAGGGAAGACGTACTGCCTGTAGCGGCAAGGACATAAAATGTAGCTAGCCTACACAAGACATAGGTTAGCATAAACAAGCCAAACAACTAGTGACAGCTAACTGAATGTGTATGGCTGAGTAAGCATTGACTCTGTGAATTACTGAATCAATATTTGAACAAAGTTAATCACTGTAAGTATTGTTGTTATTGTTTTTGCTGTTTTTCTGCCACCACAATGCGCATGCAACTGCTGAGTCGTAATTGTGACATCTACTCAAAATTGGTCTATTTGTCGTAATGTTCCTCAATGGGGGGTCCATACAGACCTTGAGAAGCCTCTTTATGAGAGATGTAACAGGTGAAGAAAAAACCCTGGAGTGATTCAATAATTTCTTCACATTATATTGACGAGGAAGACGTTCAACAATGTCATCGAACAGGTAATTACATAACCAATGAAAATATATTAAAAAACAGAGATTTTTTCTTTGAAGGAGCAGTGTATTGGATTTCTTGGCATCAAGCTGTGAGGTTGCGGAGTGCTTATGATGGCTGAAAAACATGTGAAAAGAAAAGGTGATCGCTGTAGCCAGTGTTTGGTTTGTCTGTTCTGGGCTACTGGAGAATTATGGTGGCGCAAAGTGACTTGGAGGGAGGAGCACCCACTTCCTCTATAGATATAGGATGATCTTTATTCTAAGGCAATAGAAGCACAGTGGTTATTCTTTTCAGCTGGTTATACACCAGATAAATCATGCCTACTGTGTATGAACAAGGCTGCCCATAAGGGGAGGGGGAGTGAAGACTTTTTTGGGGCCCAGCAGCCACATGGGGGGCCCCATTGAGGATAGGTACAACACTGACCATCTTAAATTGGATGACAATGACAATCGAAAGACTCACCATTATTAACACAAGAAATACACACATTCCAGTTATCGTTGCCTGTATTAAATTGTAATCCGCTCTTCTTATTGTGTGAGCCTCAGCCTTTTTTTTTGTTGTTGCAATGTTAATGTGTAAAGCCAGGCCAGGACCTGCACAACCATTAGGATGTCAGAAAAGAAAGGAGGCTAATTTGAACCCAACATGAACTTGATGACAAGCTGTTTTTCAGTCGGCGCCAAATGCTGATCAGAGGAAGGCTTAGAGGGCAAATGTTTGCCAGAAGGGTAACGCTAACAATCCAACCCGCATGTGTTGATAT